TCTACTTCCCCTTCCTTTCTCCTTCTACTCTCTCCCCTTACCACTCCTCCTTATACACCTCATCTTCCCCCTTCACCCTCTCTGCTATCCCTCTCTTCCTATCTTTCTTCTCTCCTCTGCTTCCCACTCTTCTACATCTTCCCTCCATCATTTTCTACTCTACTTCCCCTTCCTTTCTCCTTCTACTCTCTCCCCTTACCACTCCTCCTTATACACCTCATCTTCCCCCTTCACCCTCTCTGCTATCCCTCTCTTCCTATCTTTCAATGTAGAGAATCTCATTCTCTAGTTTTAAAGTCACTTGTACTACAGCGTGGAGATGGGTGTTTTGAATTGTAGATTTCTAGATTAGCTCCCAACCTATGACAGACACGGCTTTCCTATCTTCTCTTTCCACTGGGTTTTCGTTGTATGAGATGTCGTCCAAAGTGAACACCAGCAAGGCCTCTTCGAAGCCCTCCTCCTATGGCCCCGTCTCCATCCATAAACAAGACTCCACTAAAGTAAGACTATTTTTATTGGCAGTTCATTGATTTATGAATGATGGACGGAGGAGGAGAATGTGGACCAAGATAGTCCCAAAAGTGCTTCTCCTTTGAAGATGTTTGTCCTCATCCCAGACGCTTCTTCGGTTCTGACTGAAAGAACAGGAGGATTTATATGGATTTTATTTTATAATGGAAGGATTTATTCCCCATCGTTCGGTCAGAACTGAAGACACTCATTGGATGAGAAGGGAAACGTCTCCAAGGAAGAACCAAGGAAGTCCAGGTGCCTTTTGAAAAACCACCTTTGGGATGACCATGGCCTGAATAGTAGAGAATCTCCATAGAGATGGACAAAGATAGCTTATCTTCTTCTTCATGACACACACACACAAGAAATTGAAACTAAGAGTCTCTCCTCTCTCTTACACACACACACACACACACACACAAACACACACACACACACACACACGGAAGACGAACAATTGCCTTACTCGGAGGGAACAAATAGTGCTCTGTACCCTAATATGAATGAAGTTTGAGTAGATCTATTTTATTGGTTCTCATCGAGAAAATAGAACAATCGAGTTTTGATGTTTATCCAAAGCCTTCTTTCTAGAGACACTGGCACAGATTCTGCGGCCACCTCATCTCCCTCTTCGGCAAGATTTTCAAGCAGCAACTTAGCTTATAAGCTTCCTGGGATTGTCTTGCTCACTTTGCACTAAATTTACTTTATTTTTTTTTGCCAGAAATACGCTCCAAAGAGATGCTTCCACTTCCTGGTCAGAATTTAGTCAAATCCATGCATGAGTGCATCTTTCATACCTACACACACAAACACCCCCACAGTAGCTTCCTTCTCGGAATAGCAGCGATGTTTGCAGAATCTGTGGGACCACAGAGTAGTTAACCATATTTAAGCCTACGGTAGTGTGTAAACAAAGTTATTGTGGTTGCCTTGTGGTTCAGTGTATGATGTAAACCCAGAAAATTGAGAAAACCATAATTAGGTGAGCAGTGGGTCACTGAATATTGCTTTTAGGCTGAAGAGCGAAGGAAAGAGGGGAAAAGGGGAAGGGCAGACTATCTATAGTTGCCTATATCTACTCTAGTAATTGGAGAGAGAGAGGGGAGAGGGGGAGACAGAGAGAGAGAAAAAAAAAGAGAGAGAGAGAGAGACTGTGTTTCCCCGAAAGTAAGACAGGGTCTTATTTTCTTTTGACTCCTGAAATAAGCACTTGGTCTTATTTTCGGGGAGGTCTTATTAATTTTGAGGTACAGGAGGTGGTAAGCGTGGTCACCTCATGGCTGCTGCTGTGTTGCAATCTTTTTGGGGAGGGCTTATTTTAGCACATGCGCTCAAAAGCCCGATTAGGCTTATTATCCAGGGAGGTCTTATTTTCAGGGAAACAGGATAGATAGGTAGATAGGTAGATAGACAGATAGATGGATGAATGGATGGATTTAGAGGCAGACATATAGACAGATGATTGATAGATTGACTGACTGACTGACTGACCAACAGACAGACAGATGGGATTGTGTGAGTATTGCTGTATAAATGATTTCTAATTCAGTTTTGAAACTAAATTCCACATTTGTTGTGTCCATATAAATGGAGATGTGTTTCCAAATAAATGCAACATTTCAGGGATGCTACAGAAGTCTGTCAGCGCTCAGGCTGCCATCCAGGGGGAACCTGTCCATCACCCATGCCTGCCCAGCCATGTTTACACGCCACTAACGCTGCCACACTGATGTTGCCTTGCTGATGTCGATTGAGCCTGTAGCTGCATGTGGCTCATCTACTCGGGTGCAACCGCCTACTCTGATGTAACTCTTTTGCTCGGATGCGGCTAACCAGGAAAGAGGCTGTGAGGACACTTAGTGGGGGTGGGGCTGAGGGTGAGGGTCATGGTGATTGGTGATGGTGGGTGGGTGTCAACTGGGTGGAGTTGTGGGTGGAGCTGGGTGGGGTAATGGTATCTATATATATCTATCTATATCTATATCTATCTATCTATCTATCTATCTATCTATCTATCTAT